GAATTGCCCTGGAGACCCTCGGGCAGCACCTGGCCCCCCACCCGCTCTCAAGAGAGACAAGGAAAGGACAAGCAGTTGCTCCTCCCCCACAAAGCTGGTTCCAGCAGAATGGCCCCCTCCCGCCCCCCGGGGCTGCTGGAGCCGCCTGGCTCTGAGCGCTAGCCTAGAGCACGGAGGACAGACAGATGCCAGGAGGCAGAGGCCAGAGGTCCCATGGGCCCCAGAGATTTTCTGAGTTTGGGGGAAATGAGGAAAACTGGAAAAATCAGAAGTAGAAACAAGGGTAGAAAGAGCAAGGTGTGCAGAAGGTGAGAGCTCCGTGGAGACGGGTGCAGGGCCGGGCGGCCAGTGTCTGTGCGGGACACTGTCCCGACGGAGAAGAGGAGGAGGCGGACTCGGACGTGGACCTGTGCCCATTATTTATGGGCGCGTCACTTGAGTTCCGTCTCCAAACCTGGGCTCGGCCTGGAGACTGAATGTCCCTCACAGCTGCTCCTTCCTGCAATAACAAGACTGACATCACTGTTGCCAGGGAAATGGTGTTTTGATTAAAATCATGTGACAGCTATTTCGTGATTCAATAAACAAATTGTCTGTTAACCCTCCTGACAGAGCCCCCCAGCAGCTGTCATCAGGGAGCAGCCTGCAGACTGTCCAGGGCAGTCCCACCAGGCCTGGCAGGACAGACCAGGTGTGCGAGGTGGCCGGTGCCCCTGCAGGTCCTGCCGGGGGACACGTGCCACGTCAGAGCACAGACGGCTCTGCAGACACGGAGGCCCAGTCTCCGAGGGACCAAAGAGGCACCTTTCACCAAAAAGAACTGGCTCCCGCCCCCTCGGGCCATTCACTCTTGGACCAAGAGGCAGGCCCGAGCCCTGGGAGGAGGACCGGCTCCCACATGGGCCCAAAGCCAGCCAGGAACTGGGGAGAGTTGCTAGGGTTCTGAGCAGCCAGCGTTCACTCTGACCTCATTTGGGCAGTTGGGCGAGTTTGCTGTGCACCCCGGACAGTGAGTGAGGGGTTAAGAACAATTTCTGGTTTGTAATTGGATGACTTCCTGGATCACTCACTTGGCCGCTGGCCCCTGACATGCAGGGCCGTGCCTGGCAACAGCTAACACCCTCTCTGTCTCACCCCGAGTCATTTTCCTTAAGTGAAAGAAGTGCAGGGAAGGCTCCCTGCGTGACGGAGCAGGGCCTTCTGGGCTGAATGAACTGCACACTCATTGGCCTCGAGCTGCTGGGCCTGCCCATCCCCTCCCTCCCCACCCCCAGTGGACAGGACAGGGTTGGGGAGGGTCTGGGTGTTGCACATGTTCACAACCACCTGACAACTGGCGCTGACAGCACCTATGCCTGGAGTTGTGAGAATTAGGTGGGATTGTGCCAAGCGCTTGACAAGGTGCCTGCACACAGTTTGGAGGCTCGGGCATGGCCGCTAATACTCTTTCTGCAGCTTGTGGCTCTCACAGGGCCACCTACAGGCCTGAGCAAGCCTGCCAGGGAGGGGTCGCCTCCGCCACACATTTAATGACATGGCCAGCTGACCCTGCATTTGTAGGAAAACCTAACTCCTTGTTTAAGTCTGTGGTTTAGACGTAAAAACTATTATTCCTGCTCCTTCCACCAATGTGTCTTCCCCAAGGCCAACTCCGTGAAACTGAAAAAGGCTGACCCCCTCAGGCACCTGTCGGCCAGGGGCTGGCTGCGGCTGTGAGCGGGGTCACCCCAGCACTTCCTCTGTGGCAGGGCTGTTGCAAGGGCAGCCCGGGCTGCCCCGCTCGGACGCCTGGCCCTGGCCCTGGACAGCGGTGCACAGCACCACAGAACCGGGACACTCCAGACGCAACACAGTTCAGAGCCTGGACCACAGGAGGAAGTCCTCATGGCCCCATTTGCATAAAATAAAGCCATGGAGATTTGGAAGGCAAACTTTTTGAGGTTAAAATCGCCACCAAGTGAACCCACTGGAGTGGGTGTGAGATGCCAGTCATCTTCCACATCAACTAAGTGCTTCCTGGCTTACGCGCAGGGCAGCGGGCCCTCCGTGCCGCTTTCTGAACCTGCCTGTGTCTTACCTGCTCGCCTATCCAGCAGCCCAGGGCAGTGGCCGCACCGAGTTTAATTGCTGAACACCTTCTCCAGGGGGCATCACAGGGGCTTGTCACACATTCCCATGTTACACAGGAAATGGACAGGATGGTGTTTACCTTGAGTGGAAACGACTACCCCAGAGGAACTGTAGCAAATAAGAACTGTATTCTGTGAGGTAAGTGGGAGTAGCCCATCTCCATAAGCAACTCGACCAAACACCCCTCTGGCCTCTGCATGGGCCTCGCTGGTGCTGACCAGGGTGGGGAGGGAAGCCACCGGAGTGAGCTGAGTCCACTCCATCCCTCAGAAAGCACGCCCAGAACAAAGGACAAGAAACAGGGCAGCGGGCTTAAAACACAGGGGAGGCAAAAGTAGATTTATAGTCATGAGTACATGAAACACGGTTTATTCTTGTAGTATTACTAGAGGCCCAGTGCACAAAATGTGTGTGCGTGGGGCGGGGTGTCCCTCAGCCCGGCCTGTGCCCTCTCAGGCCTGTGCCCTCTCACAATCCAGGACCCCTCAGGTAGGGTCCCTAGGCCTGGCCTGTGATCAGGGCCTATTAGGGCTTTCCTTCCCCTGGCTGATGGCAGCTGGCCCTGCCCCCACCGCTGCCACTGTTTGCCATCTGTGCAGCACTACCTCCCCTCCCCCACCACTGGTTGCTTCCCTCTGTGGGCGACAGGCATGGGGTGCAATCGCTTGGCTGGCCTGGGCTTCCCTCTACAGCAGCGGTTCTCAACCTGTGGGTCGCGACCCCTTTGGGGGTCGAACGACCCTTTCACAGGGGTCGCCTAAGACCATCGGAAAACACATATATAATTACATATTGTTTTTGTGATTAATCACTATGCTTTAATTATGTTCAATTTGTAACAATGAAAATACATCCTGCATATCAGATATTTACATTACGATTCATAACAGTAGCAAAATTACAGTTATGAAGTAGCAACAAAAATAACTTTATGGTTGGGTGTCACCACAACATGAGGAACTGTATTAAACATAGCGCTGCCGGCTGGGTGGCCTGGGCCTCCCTCTGCGGGGCAGTCCTGGAGCAATGGCGGGGCCCCCTGACCAATTGCATCGCACCCACCTTGACTGGCCTGGCGTCAGTGCGTGTCATAGCGTGGTCCTCCGGAAGGTCGTCCTGCTGTTTGGTCGATTTGCATATTACACTTTTATTATTATAGATGGTATTATTTTCCATACAAACAGCTGTACACCTACTCTTGCCCCACCCTGTATACTCTCTTGGCCCTAAAAACATTGCTGTCCTCCGGGACGGAGTTCCCCCCTGCCTGCTGTAGCAGCAGGCCACGCCAACTGTCCTCCACCCACACCTGAGTCCCTGGGAGGGGAGGCCTCAGGCCCAGCGTGTCTGTGCGCTTGCCTCCTGGTGTCCTCTCCAGGCCCTCTGGGTCGCAGGAGGTCCTTGTCAGCCCAGGGGCGCTGGGCTCTCCATAGTCCACGGGAAAATCTAACTTCCTCAGTCCGTGGGCCACCACTAGCGACAGATGGCTGCACAGAAACTGTCCCTGGGCGGGCATGTCCCGGCCAGGATGCCCTCCGTGGCTCAGGTGTGGCAGTGGGGAGGCGGGGTGACCCCAGGACCTCAATGAAGGTGCTTTTCCTCCAGAGCGGCACAAAGGGCCACCCACCAGCCTGATGGTAGCAGGGGATGCTCCCCACTCGGTACTGCCGGCCTACAGAGCCCCAACCAGTCAAGTGCTGGCTGCATTCAGGACTGAGAGCACCGGTCAGAAAGCTCTGCAGAAAGCAGCAGCTTGGCTTTCCTACCCAACGAGGAACTAACTCCCCATCCTCCACATTTCCCTCAACTGAACATTGTGTCATTTCCTGGACACAGCAGGCTCATGGGGAGGATAGAGGGGCTATTTTGGGTACAAAGAAAGGATTGGAGACACGTGAGTGAACAGGAGAGAGGCGCAAGGAACTGGCTGGAAACAGGAGAATCCGAGGGAACGATTACTTAGGAGCAGACCAGGCCCTAGACCTGCTAACAAGGTCGCTCCTCTCGCTCGTGTCACACCCAAGCAGCCACCAGGAGGCTGTAAGCCAGGAGCTTCAAAATGAAAACAGGTCAGAGGAACTGAAGTCAAAGGCAAAAGGGTAGGACAAGCACCCAGCTTGTGGCTACGGCCCTGCCATCTCTGTGGGGAGGGTACCACGTGACTTCCACAGGAAATCACCAACATAGCGGTCACAATCGCAAGAAGAGCATTGCCATAGCTACGACGGGGTCCAGATGACATTCTTCTTCCCCTGGAGGTCCATGCACTATCTTGAATGCTTAGGACAGCTCAGAGGTTAGCATGCTGCCTATTGTGAATCAGGACAAGTTGTCCAGCAGAGACCCCAAGACCATGCATCACAGTGGTCAAGCTGTGGTCGTTCCATGAGCTGATGGCTATGTCAACAAGGCCTTGTCAGAAATCACACATGAACCAGCTTATTCTTATGAAACACCATGCATCTTCAGGTTCATACCCACTTGGCAGCACAGAGAATTAAGGTCTGTCTGGTCTCTCAAATCTCTGAGGAGTAAACCCCACACAAATGGGAAAGAAACACTGAAGTGAATTCCATTGTTGAGGAGACATTTTTATTGACATAGGTTTGTATGTTTGTCTCTGCTTCCCTTTCCTAATCGACCAAACAACTGATATGAACTGCCTGGGATGAAAAAATAACAGCAATCTATGTTAGAGGTGATTGCACCAATCCAAATGGAACTGTTGCCTAAGATGGGGGATGGAGAAGGGTCACATAAAGCTAATTTCTTAAGAGCAGTAAGGTCCTTTCATTTGTGAATGGGAGAATGAGATGCAGTCTGGTACCTTTGATGACTTGTTCCACGAACACAACACATCAGAGGACAGATTTTAAAAATTCATTGAACACATTTTTATTGAGTACCCACTACGTACACCAGATACTGATCTGGGTGCTGGTGATATAGCAGACAAAAATCCCTGCCCTTACTGAGCTCGTGGAGCTTACATTATAGTGACAGCAAGATAACCTGTGGAGAAAATGACCAAGTTAGCAAAAAAAAAAAGATGACTCCTCTGAGCAGTAACAAAAGGGATTGATTCCCTACCATTTAAGGCAGAAAGACACAGTGAAGTCCCTAAGAAGTCATCTAAAAAGGCAGCGCCCTGCTGAGCTCCCTGACCCATGTCTGAAAAAGTAAAGGGTTCCTTTGCCATAGTCTTGGGGTAGAAGGTCAATGCACAGGACCCCCAGGGGGCACACAAGGGCATTTAAAAGTCTATCCCAAAACCAAGGACATTTCCAACCAACCAGTATTTCCAACCAAAGAATAAAGCAATGGTTGTACAAATTTGTTTCAAGAATGAAGACAACAGCCTCTGAAAAATGAAATTCAATAAAGAATAAACATAACCTACAGGTAATAATAATAATAAAAAAAGAACCATGAAACTAAAATTAAGATGTTTACAGCATAATAGTTTAAGATATAAAATGAGACTGTATAAAAGATTTTTGCTTAGGAAAAATATTTAATTCTTAGCCCCAAAAGTAATAAAATAGAAAGTTACTATAAGGTAATTTGACAATTTTAAATGCAGGCAATTTCTGATTCAAAATGTTGTTTTTCTACGGTAAGACAAACTTGAAAGTAATTCACTCAAACTTGGTTTTCAAAAAACAGAATAGGGTGCACTGGGTTTAAAAGAGGTTGTGAATAAAAGAAATAATTCCAAAACCAAAATGGAACAAGCAAACTACCTAGCAAGATGCACTGAGAAAAATAAACTACAATAAAACCTCATTAACATTCATTAGGAACAAGGTGAGTTTGAATAGGTGACAATGTAAATAAATTTACATGGAAATATATTTAAATTCTCCATGAAATACAAATGTATATATTTCAGGGATAAAGACTAAACTGAATATATCTAAAAAAAAAAAAAAAAAAAAGGGGGGGCTCATAAAAATCCTCATGAAAAGTATTTTAATGTAATTGAAAAGTGATTAGTAATTGGTGTACTAACTGGCAAAAGGGTACTTTTTAAAGAGAGCTTCAAAATAGTTTTAGTTTGGGTCCAATAGGCTTCCCTACAAACTATTAATTTGCTCCAAGAAACCCTTCCTTCAGCTTAACTAGTTATCTTAAGTTCCAGGAAAAATTAATGAGGTTTTACTGTAAAAGCAGAAAAACAAAGTTTTCAAATGATGATTCCAGCATCATCCATACCAAAAAAGTAGTAATGAAATTTAGTTTGCAAAGCCAAAGCAAGGACCAGATGTTAACACAGCTGGAAGCAGAATGAGGTTAAGCGCAGGAAATCCTCACAGTATTATACCAGTCATTCCTTTTCTCATTAGAATTACAAAATTGCAATCTTACAATGACACGGTAGAACTACTGCTTATTCGAAGGCACTAAATTTTAAGTTTCTCAGCAAGGAGAGAGAGAAGTATTTTGAACACAGTGGTATAAGCTGTGGAAATTCAGTTCGGATTTAACATTACACATTAGCAGCAATACATCTGCACATCAGGTTTCTGAGTGACATGATTAGTCAAAATAAGGCAAAGAAAAACCGGAACAAACAACACATGAACTCTGAGCTTCCACATTCCCCTTTCATGTAAGACACTGACGCAGACCATCATTATCCAGAAAAATGTGGCTTTCACTACAGTTAAATCTCAATGTGTCTCCCAAATAGAGGGTTTATAACATAAGTTGTACATTTAACTTTGGAATGATGAACAGACACACAGATACAAGTAGACACCAAGAGAATCACTCCACTGCATGTCTGGGTCCCAACCCATCCAGCCCTGGTCAGGACAGTAAGTGGCCAGGCTGATGGAACGGTGAGGGTGCAGGAGCCCAGATAGTGCCCAATAAATCCCTGGAGACAATCAAGAAACGACTGTACCGAGTGTCAGGAACTGGTCACAAACAAAAAGAATGGTGTATAATTATCCCAACAAGGAAGACAAGTAAAAACAATCCCTTTACATCTTTAAAAAGAATCAAGTCACTGAAATTTGATTTCTTGGAAGCTGTTGCCATTTGCTTGGATGAGGTCTTGAAGGTTTTCCATTTTTTTCTCCATCCAGTTGAAGAACACATTGACTAGAAATCTGTGTTAAGAAATTAGTAAAGTCTTTTCCCTCCTGCTCCTCATCATGCCAACGCAAGCACTGGAAAATTCCAAACAGAATCAAGTTAGTGGCACAGAAAGTTCATGAACTACCTATGTGACTATTGAGCACAACAGTTATCCAAAAGCAGGAGACTGAACTTCTCATTGTGGTCAGTTTTTCTACTCTGTCAGGCTAATCAAAGTTAGACTTTAAAAATTGATTAAAATCCAAACAAACTATTCTTACTAGTGAAAATCACATTCCTACCCATCCCTACACATGGGACTGAGAAACGGCCTGCTCAGTGGTGAGCCAAGAAGGGAATAAGCATTCCAGGCACTCAACACCCTTCCGTCTCCCATATGCTGATCGCCTTGCCCACTGAGCGTCACTTACACCCTGTCAACCAAAGCAAAAGCTGCAAGGCAGACAACAGAAGGACATACCACTTATAGCTTCCTGTGCGAAGTATTTGACATCCATGTCTTCATCTTGGCCTAACTTCTGCAGTACCGGTTTAACTTCCTCCTGCAAAGCACTGAAATCCAACAGTATTATCTGTGAAAGGCAGTCTTCTGGGTCAGAAAAATGTTTTATGGTACATATGCTCTAAGGCAATTTTTTTTTTTTAATCCTCACCCAAGGATATTTTTCCATTGATTTTTAGAGAGTGGAAGAGAGAGGGAAAGTAGGAGAGAAACATCGATGTGAGAGAAATGCATCGATTGGTTGCTTCCTGCATGTGACCCAACCAGCGCCTGGGCCAGGGAGGACCCTGCAATCGAGGTACATGCCCTTGACTGGAATTGAACCCGGGACCCTTCGATTTATAGGTCGATGCTCTATCCACTGAGCCAAAGCAGCTAGGGCTCTAAGGCAATTTTTAAAGTTTAAAATACAAAAATCTTTTAAAACACCTATAAGTTTGACAAATACTAAATATCTAAAGTTCTCAGCAGAAATAGCTTCAATGATCTTCACATATACGAGTTTAAATATAAAAGATTGGACACCTGCAAAAATGGTTGTTTTATTATTTTCTTTAAACAAACCCACACCTTAGGTAAAGTAAAAATCACCGAATTTATTTTTAGCCATTACTCCCCACTATCATGTAATATTTTTAATCTACTTTTAAAATAAGAATAATATTAAAATCTTACTCAGTATCTAGAATTGGTCCAATTTTCTGTAGAGATTTGGCCACATTGAAACGGACGTTCGCCACTTGGTCTCCTGCCATTTTCAATACAATAGGCAGCATCTGCTTAGTAGTTATTTCCTGACCGCAGGCTTCAGACAGTACCTAGAAAACACTTTTATTTGTAAAATATCCCCAAATCTAAAGAGAAAAATTAATACTTAATAAAAAAAGTAACTGGCCAACAGGAAAATGTTTCTAGTTTGAGCACTAAATGAGGAATACAAAGTAGAATTCAAAAAACCCAGAATTAGAGCAGAATTCACAACTGACTTCACTACTGTAGATTTTAACATGGATTGAGAGCTGATATTTTTCTCTCATCTCTTAACTATCCAAAGAAATCAATAAGAAATACATTCCAACTAGAAGACAATATATTCAGAATTCAGGAACACAATCTTGGATAACTGCTTTAACACCTGAGCAATAACAGCTGTGTAATACTTACATTAATGCAGAATAAGGTGGTCATTCTATGCAAATAATTAGGATCATTTGCCATTACTAACACTTTGGGAACGATGGTATTTTGGGCCCACTCTGTACCAAACTTCTGAACTAGTTTCATGAGGTTGTTGGTGGCAGCTTCGCGAATGGCATACACTGCAGGAGAGGGAAAAAGAAATGCTGTTCACAGTACAGCACGACCTAGTTTACGTACATCATCAGCAAAGGCGGGCCAAAATCAAGATGCTGCAAACACACTCCAAAGTCAGCCATGCTGCAGTGGCATGTGGTCAGCTACAACTCATAAATACACTGATTTGGTTTTACTATAGTTTCAAAATGTGTAATATGTCCAAGGAAAAAGAAGGTAAGGAGCTCATTATAGGCATCACGAATTAATTAACAAGTATCAGTGCCTACTATATGCTATGTGTAACAGGAAAAATACATGTATTTCTCCTCAAGATCATACACTTAGAAAAATGAAAGCTACCATACTCCAAGTAGTCACATGGTATAAGACTGATTATAATAAAGTGTGAAATTGTGAGAGCTGTAGCAGTTGAGAAGAGAGAACAGGAAGCTCTAGAAAGTCTTTTGGAAATAAGAGAACAGGAAGGTCTAAAAAGGCTTTGTACTGGGCCTCAAAGATTAGAGAGGATTTGTGTAAGGAAAGAGAAGAGATGGTAATTCCTGGAAAGGGTAAAAAAATTTACCCGGGACACAAAGGAGATAGCTGAAATCTGGGAAAACACGAGGCTGGACAGTTATAGGAGACCCAAAACACAGAACATCTTGAAAGGTACATTGAGAGGTTATAAAAAAAATAAATAAAAATAACGATGGGCCCTAACCGGTTTGGCTCCGTGGATAGAGCATCGGCCTTCGGACTGAAAGGTCCCAGGTTCGATTCCGGTCAAAGGCATGTACCTTGGTTGCGGGCACATCCCCAATAGGGGGGGTGAGGGAGGCAGTTGATCGATGTTTCTCTCTCATCGATGTTTCTAACTCTTTATCCCTCTCCCTTCCTCTCTGTAAAAAATCAATAAAATATATTTTAAAATAAAAAGATGGGTTTTTAAAGCAAAGCTGTCACCTGGTGACTAGTGTGGTACTTTAGCAAGACTACTCCAATAGTGGCAAGAAAGCTAAAGGGAGAAGACAGCGAGGAGGTAGTGTGGAGGCCACTGTGGTCATCTACACAATAGCAAATAAAAACTTCAGACCTTCATGCCTGTTTTCCCTTAAAAATGTTTATGTTGAGAAATGTTAAATGTCTTCTGTGAATAAATGTACCTGTTTTAACACTTAATAATTTCCTACAAGCCCTGGCCAGGTGACTTGGTTGGTTGGAGTGTCATCCCATGCATCAAAAGGTGGTGGGTTTGATTCCTGGTCAGGGCACATACCCAAGTTGTGGGTTTGATCCCTGTTTGAGGCACATACAGGAGGCAACTGATCGACATTTCTCTCCCATCATTGATTTTCTCTTTCTCTTTCTCTCTCTCTCTCTCTCTCTCTCTCTCTCTCTCTCTCTCTCCTTTCCTCTCCGAAACCAATAAAAATATTTATTTTTTTTTAAAAGGAAAGAATAATTAAGTAGAGAATCTTCTGGGATGTCAGTCTCACTAATGTTAAATATATATCAGAAATAACAAACACTTTTGACAGAGAAAACCAAGATGGTGGCATAGGTAAACACCAGAGATTGCTGCCTCTCACAACCACTTCAAAAATACAACTAAAAGACATAACGGACATCATCCAGAACCACAGGAAGGCTGGCTGAGTGGAAATTCTACAACGAGAAGGAAAGAGAAAAGCATACCGAGACTCAGAGGAGGTGCGGTGCTGAAGTAAATACAAAGGTG